ATTTAGTACTAGAACTTACTGCACTATGGGATTTGTCCAATTTTTGTTAGAAGCATACTTAGGACGTTTTGAGCAGGAGCTCAACTCCGTGGAGGCTGAGAGCACCAAGGTCTCAAATGAAATTGAGGATCTCATTCGATCCCATGGGGAAGGTGAAGATTCAGTCTTTAGTGTTCCACGCCAATATGCATTGATATTTAATGTATGATGTTTTTTTATTTTTCGACCTTTTCTTTCGTATATGCAGATTTTAATCGACTTGGCACTGATCTTGCACAGTTGAAATGTTCATTAGATTTTGTTGAAGAAAAGGTTGGTTTTCCGTTGGTGAAACATTATTAGTTTTTTTTGGATCAGTCTTTGGTAGTATGACAAGGCATGCAAGCCAATTTGTTTGATACAAATGGGTTTGAATGGAGACCTATAACCTGCTCTTTCTTACAAGTCTGTGAATAGAGGTTGAATTTAATTACAGTTATCTGGTGTATACACATGTTGTAATTTATCCCTTTATCCCTTTAATGTTACAGTTGTTGAAGGTTCCTAGATTTCCTTGGTGTAGTAATCTGCACATTATGTGATCCCTTGTTGGTTGTTTCTTTGTTCTTATCATTTTCTCACTTTTGCTTGACTACCTCACCCCCCAGGTTGTATATGATACCTTTATTTCCATAAGTTGGGAATGTTTGAATTTTATTTGGAAATCACATATGAAATTTTTCAAGATAATAGCTGTGTACCATTTGTAGGATCTGGAGAATGCAAAATTGGGTGCAGATGTTGATTACCATAAACGTGGGAAAGATCTGTTGGATCCGATGAATGTGAATGCAGACAAGTTTGAGGTTTCATTCAAAATCATATTATTCAACACTGTTTGCTTCTAGGGTATTATATTAGTTCAGGCTGAAATAATACATACAGACATTTTGAGGGTCTTGATTCTTATGTAAGGAGTTAGCTTGTTAAAGAAATTTCCATAACCTTTTTACCATTTTAAGATATCTTGTGTTTAACTTGCAGCTACTGGAACTTGAAAATCAGATTGAGAAGAACAATATAATTTTGAAGTCTTTACAGGATTTAGATTGTACACTTAAATGGTAATTATGCCACTTTGACCTTATTTTTGTGTGAGTGTGTATTTCATTTAGCTTGTTATAGAGTTATTCTCTTATACTTTAAGTTTTTTGTTTGATTGATGCAGGCTTGACAACACAGAACAGATTGAGGATGCAGTTACAGGTCTTAAGGTCATTGCTTTTGAGGGAAACTGCGTTAGGTTGTCACTTAGGACATACATTCCAAAGTTGGAAGACCTTTTCTCCCCAAAAAAAGTTGGAGATGCCACTGAGCCATCTGAAGTAAATCATGAGCTGCTAATTGAACTTCTGGAGGGGACTATGGGTTTAAGGAATGTTGAGGTATCAAAACATGATTATCTCAGGACATCTTTCTTCATTAGTGTCATTGTTTAATAAAGCTTACAATTAGAGGTATTACTATAACATCAAAGACAATATAGCACTCATGGGATGCGCCCATCTGTTGCGGAACCATGGTGGCAGGTGCTGGCCACTGTTGGCAGTGCCTACATGACTTGGGCTGACATTGCAGTGCTCCACCCAAGGGTGATGCCATGCCAGCCCCTTCAATGTTCTTTCCAAAAAAAATTAATAAAATTTTCTCTTATGTAATTTCATAGAGGGATGAAATTGCAATTATGTTTCTTTTTCTTTTTTGCTTTGTCAAAGGTGGATGGGGTGAGTATTTTTTCATTGTGACATGACAATGAAGAAAGAAGTAATCTCAACACCCTGTGCATCTTTTAAATGAGTTGGTACTGCTCTCGAATTTCTTATGAGCACTATACTCTGGATCTTTTAAATACATTGCTGATGATATCTCATTTTTCCAGATTTTTCCAAATGATGTATACATAAACGATGTTCTTGATGCTGCAAAGTCTTTGAGGTTTGTTTTTCCAGTACCCGTCTTATGATTTCTAAAATTTGTTTCTTTCTTTGTTGTTGTTGTCATGGTATTCTTTGTTTTTGTTTAAAAAATATATATATTTCCTCTACTGCAACTGGTAGCACTTCAATAATTAAAAGGCATTTAGCAAACAAATCCCTCTAAAATAAAGGACAGATTTCCGTGATTGAATTCAGGACCTGGCAGACAGCAGAAACTATCGACCCAATCACAACACACACGCACACTTGCATTACCTAGTCATATTTTTAATAGGTTTTCTCTCTCTAAAGTTTTTTATTTTTTTAATCTTTGACATTTCTTTTGAATTATGTGCTCTCTCAACTTGATTCCTGTCATATGATCAGGTAGTAGTTGTTGGCTTTTCTATCTTTCTATACTTGCTCAATTGGCTCAAGTTCTTCTATCTGCTGAATATGGGAGTGAGTGTAGGGTTCAATATTCTTATGAATAAGTATAAATACTTGGTGACCTTATTTCTGATTACTTTTCCACAAAAGGTGCGATTTATGAAAAAAAAATAAAAAAATTCAGTATATTGTTTTATTGAGTTCATCAAATCCACTTTGCAGGAAATCTTCATTGCAGTGGTTTGTAACAAAAGTGTAAGACAGAATAGTTCTATGCACCATGAGGCGACTAGTAGTAAAAAGTGCAAACAAATCAAGGTGAGACATTTTCCTTAGCAATTTTAGTCTATGTATTCATTATGCTCTTAAATATTTTCCAAGATAATTGAATTCCATATTTTTAATAATGATTCCGAATATTTTCATTTGGAATGCATCAATCCATGCAGACACTCATTGGAGTACTTGGATAAAGATGAGACAGTAGTAGCTCATGTGGTTGGAGGAGTTGATGCATTCATCAAGGTCCCTCAGGGTTGGCCATTGTTAAGTTCTCCATTGAAACTGATATACCTCAAGAGCTCTGATCAACATTCAAAGGGAATTTCTTTAAGTTTTCTGTGCAAGGTTCAGGTCAGTGTACACCTCCTTATCTCTTACTAGTTTCCTTACTTCGGGGTGGATGTATCTAGTTTCAAATTCTCATATGTTAAAACACTCATTTGGAATGCATCAATTTGCCTATGAATTTTATATCTCGAAGTCACCTAAATCAAGTAGTTATATTTTATGTTATCTCCAATTAATTTTGTTCTAATATGCTGTCTCCTTGTCATAAGCATACATGCCGACCTTTTTGTATTAAGGTCTGGTTCCTGGATGGAAAAGTAAATAAACAACATAATTTAATCATGGAGTTTTTTATATAGATTTTCTTGGATAGTGCAATAATTTGTTTATTTTTTGCAGGGAAAAACCAAAGTACACAAGCAGTATGCGTTAAAAATGTAAGAACAATAAGAAAATACATATGCAGAAATGCTAGGGTGAAAAACTGACAGATCTTTGTTTACAATGCTGTTGACTATTTCGTGTATATTTGAGAAATTTCATCAAATTGATGGCAGTAGCCAGCATGCCTAGTGAGCTTAAAATTTGGATATTTTGGTTTCTTTTGAACCAGTTTGAGCTTATGTAAAAATATACAAAAATGTGAATTGTTCATACCAAAAAAGCTATTAGATTTCATACAAGTTTATTATATTTTCAATAATATGAAAGAAAGGCTAAGTGTTGATGCAAACTCAGATCCTCTAAGCATGTAATTGTTCTTGCAGACATTCATGTATTGTCTCTACAATAATAGTTTCTTCGTACTATGTGTTTTCTCAAATAATTGTGCATTATGTTTTCTTGTGGTCTCTTTTGGTTCCTAGTGTCGTGTCTTTCTGTTACATGTATAAATTCAAAATTTCACAAAATAAAATAAAAAATGGTAAAGTCCACTGCAATGCCTGGTTCTTTTTTGCTGAACTTTTCCCTTCTTTTGGTTGCATAATTGTTGATTGTTTAGGAATTGGCAAATTCGTTGGCTGTACGAATTCGACAGACTCCATCGACCTTTGTGGATGCTATTGAAAAAATACTTGTAGAGCAGATGCGCTCAGAACTCCATGGTGATGCTTCTGAACAATGACTTGTGTAACACTTGTGATACTAATCACACATGTAAAATAGCTTCCAGATTCCAGTGTTGTCCCGTACGTTTACAAATTAACAGACTGAAATTATTCGGAGTATTGTAACGATATTGTTGAAATGAGAAAAGGAAGGGGTTTTTAAGTAAGTCCCCAGAGCAACACGTTGTCATAAATATTTTTAAGCCCTTGACTTTTGTTGTTGTTTTGTTTTAAACCCTCAATTTGCTGAGGCATTTAGCAGTAAGCCCTCAACTTGAGCCCCAAAAACTCATCAAAAAGACCCATTTAGGGTCGCATAAGAGTATTTCCTAGGTTCATTGAGAAAAACTTGGAAGTTCTTCGGGGGTTTTTACTAATTTTTCCTGATGTCTTGACCTTTGGCCTGGACTGATATTAGGCGCGACTTCGTAAAGCATTTTTTTTAATCTTTTAATTTAACCCAAAAAGTGCAGAATCTTATTTTCAATTCCCACTTTACAAACTAGTGCAAAGAATGGTAAATGTAAGCCATTGTAAAAACTTCCGTAGGAATTTGCTTTGGTCTTAGGTTGCCTGTAAGCCAGTAACTTCACGATTTCTGTTTTATATTTAAACCTGTGATTTTCCTTTTTATTAAGAAACATTTTATATAACAACGCAATGATTGGATAACGGCTCCCGTTTTTATTCAAAGACTGAAGAGGATAATTTTTTTGTTTTTTTGTTTTTTGTTTTTTGGAAAAAGGGGACAAAAGAGTGGACAGGAAATCCACCCACAAAAACAGAAGCCACAGGAAACAAAACAAAAACAACCCTGCAAACAACCAGCAAGGAAAGGCACAAAGCCAAAACAAGAAACACCAAACAAGAACTAAACACGCATCAATTCACTACAGCTAATTGAAATGGCCGGAATTATGTTTGGGTGGAGAAATTGATTAATATCTTTCTTTTCCATTTAATTAAAAATAGAAAGGAAAAAAAATTCGATCATTTTTGCAACTTAACATTCAATAAAAATCATTACACACGGAGAGGAAACAACCATTGTTATATGAAAACATACGCAGAACAATGGGGTAAAGTATAGAACACCTGGATTAATGGAACTGGATAAACAACAAAACACAACAGCATTCACTTGCTTCAGATCTGCCCTGCAAATAATGTGTTCGGCGGCGTACACTCTCCTCAATTGTTGAGCTTCCTTCCCTCTCAGCACCATAAACACTAGTTTGAACAGCATCCAAGAAGTTCCTACCACTGGATTTGACAGCCTGGGTAGCTTCCAGTGCATCATTCTCCTCGGCCTTCTTCAATCGCTTCCATCTTTGCTCTTCATGCAACTCGGCATCTATTTGCATCTCCTTTAGCCTAGCAGCTCTTTCTTCTTCTGAAAGTTTAGGAGCAACATTTCGACGCTTGTAGTGTGATTCATTCCGACCTTTCATGGGGTATTTTTCTAGTTCTAAATTGTCATGTTTTCCCTTGGCATCACCTTGACCATCATCTCTTCCAATTTTTATGGACTGATTCTTCTCAGCTCAGTCTGCTCTGTTACGTGATTCATCTTCCGAATCTGAATGCTTAACAAGGTTTTTCTCACTTCGACCTGCTCTTTTACGTGACTCATCTTCTGAATCTGAATGTTTACCATGGTTCTTCTCACTTCGATGTGCTCTGTAACGGGATTCATCTTCGGAATCTGAATGCTTTACAGGGTTCTTCCCACTTCGATGTGCTCTGTTACGTGATACATCTTCTGAACCTGAATGCTTAACATGGTTCTTCTCACTTCTCCGTGCTCTGTAACGCAATTCATCTTCGGAATCTGAATAGTTAACAGGATTCTTCCCACTTCGGCGTGCTCTGTTATGTAATTCATCTTCTAAATCTGAATGTTTAACATGGTTCTTCACACTTCTCCGTGATCTGTAATGCGATTCATCTTCGGAATCTGAATGGTTAGCAGGATTCTTACCACTTCGACGTGCTCTGTTATGTGATTCATTTTCTAAATCTGAATGTTTAACATGGTTCTTCTCACTTCTCCGTGTTCTGTAACGGAATTCATCTTCAGAATCTGAATGCTTAACAGGCTTCTTCCCACTTCGATGTGCTCTGATACGTGATTCATCTTCTGAATCTGAATGCTTGACAGTGTTCTCATGTCGACGTGCTCTTTTACGTGATTCATCTTCCGAATCTGAATGCTGAACATACTTTGATATCTTACGATGACCACTCTTCCTCCTTTCCACTTCAGCAGTGTCATTTTCTGAATCTGATGCTTGTATGGATGATGAATGTTTGCTATGCTTTGAAGCACCAGTATGGTGCTTCTTCTTCTGATGTTCCTTCTTGTCATGCAGTTTCTCTGCGGGCTTCTTTGCTTCAACCTTTTATTGAAAAAAAAAAAAATGATCAGCATATACACGTCAAACATTCTCTTAAACTAATCATGGACATCTACTAAAACCCTGATAAACTCAGCAAAAGACCCAAAATCATCAAGTCATGTCTAACTATGCTGTCTGGCATAACTAATTTATTCTTGATTAGTGAGCAAGAGAAAAGTAAAAAAAGACAAACTTACAGATTTGCAAATCATCGCCATCTGGACAGGATTGTTCTTAATACGAGAAAGGGCTTCCTGCTCACGCTGCCGAATCATAAGCAAAGGATCCGAGTGGAGCTTCCTCCAAGCATCATTGGCAGATTGAGGCTTTTCTTCGAACAGAGCTCCTGGCACAGATGCTGATGACTGCTGCTGGAGAATCACTAGTCACAAAGGATCATAAGAAACATGATTTTGTAGTTGCACTACATTTTATGCAATATCATTGATGCACACAAATGGGAAATTAAAGATCATAAATACAATTACCTTGGAGGCGGCAGAGGAGGAAGGCGCTTCTTCGGTCTTGGGTAAGGCTTCAAGGGTTTTGAAACTATCGGAACCACCAGGGCGCCCAACGGCCAATCCCGAATCATACAAGAACTCCAACCGCTCTTGCCTCCTGCAAATAACAATCAATTGCAGTTGATTAAAGATTAATTGACGAATTTGAAGAAAGAAAAAAAAAACCTAACCCTAAGAAGAAAGAAAAAGGAATAAGATTAGAATTGGTTACGGGACGAGGCCACCTATAACATGTACGTGGTAGTTTTGTGTTCAATAATTCACGCTTAGTTAATCAAACCGGCGCCTTGATTACTTACGTGTGACACCCAATTACCAAATGTCATCTGTATGAATTTATGTATTTTTACATTCTTCAGCACATACATACTGACATTGTTACATAAGAAAATAGCAAAACAATAAATGTAAAGACATCACGGGGTTCATATTAGGACTAACAATACAACACAAGGTCATTATATCAAGAGGAAGTCGTCTTGAGGTGTCTCGCCAAGAGGCATTCAAAAATAGAAATATCTGAAAGTAAGGACATGCTAAAGATACAAAAAGGACACTTGGGGCACCCAGCTTATAATCTCTTCCTAGAGGAAAATGACTCACTTAATGATCTGCAAGATAAAAACAAATGAGGCGTGAGCGAACAGCCTACTCATATACTCAGTTATATCAGTCATGTAAGATCACATGCCAACTGAATCACAAAAAAAAGCGCTCTCACATTGTTAAAATAAACTCGTGGCATTAGATTCAAAGTAAGTTTTCAACATCGTAGGAAAGCCACTCACCTTTTGGTCTAGAGTCGAAGTAAGTTTTCAGCAACAACACCTAAGAGAGTACACAAAACGTAATTAACTTAGAATTCTTCTATGTTTGCCATCATCATCACCATCCCTTGACATACTGATAGGAGCCAGGTGGGCCCCAATGCTTTTGATGCGCAACCCTTTGCCGTAAACAGTAACTCGAAAACTACGAGACAGCTGCCTGTGAGCAAATGATAATGGAATCCATTCCAGCCACACATTACCTGCCCCTATCTCTCCTCCAGACACATCCACCGTATCAAGATAATCATACAATTCAATTCAAGGTCACAAGGGCTAACAAATGATTCCATAATTTCCCAAACAGCACACAAAACCAATTTTGTCTTCTCCAATACGGAAGTCCAAGGAATTTCAATAGGAAGTTTGTATTTACGAACAGTCCTGCCTCCATCATCAATGTAATCAAATTTACTCTCATCATAGTCATCAAAGTAATTACTAAAAGTGAACCACTCTGGAACTTCACTGCCATTGCCAGGTAGATTAACGGTAATCCACTCACTCCTCTTCATCTGTAACACAACACAATACAGACATATATATTATTATTAATTAGTCATGCGTGCAGCGTACATAGTATAGTATTAACAATACATGTAATGTATGCATAGTAATTATATAGAAAAGAGATAAATAAGTCACCTCAATAAATAATTTTGCCATCTTTGAAACGTCCAACCCTAGATTATCGCATAGCCTATGGCAATTAGACAAGTCCATGTAACTAATGCCTTGCATGTCTCCGTCTTCCAATATCTTTGACAATGTTGAAAATCTTTCCAGTGATATGCAATCACCCATATCGATTGTTGCTATAAACGCTGGAAGTTGTACTAGAATTTCTACAAGCCTCTTGCAACCCCTCAAATCAAGATACCGCAAGTTGACATATTTGCTAATGCACACAGTAAGACTGACAAAATTGCTGTAGGATAGATTAATACTCAATAAGTGGGACCACCAACAAAAATTGATGTAGGATACATTGCACTCTTCAAAACACAATTTCAACGAGCAGCCCTTGAATGAACTGTATGATTTGGTTCGAACCTCCAAAGGAAGTGATTATGCGCTCGATAAAACTTCAGAGATCAAGTTGTTCGGAAGTGTGACAAGTTTTGGGCACCGATTGAGATTAATATGCTCCAGATTTTGCAACCCATAAAACTTTGTGGCAGATTTGCAAGGTTGTCACATCCTTCTAAATTTAATAATTCAAGCGCAGTGAGATAAGTCCAATTTTTGCAGCCCAATGAGATTTCCAATTGATGAAGGCAACTCTTTTATAGCACTTTTAGATAAGTACAATTCTTGCAACCCAATGAGATTTCCAATTGATGAAGGCAACTCTTTTATAGCACTTTCAGATAAGCTCAATTCTTGCAGCCCAATGAGATTTCCAATTGATGAAGGCAACTCTTTTATAGCACTATTAGATAAGTCCAATTTTTGCAGCCCAATGAGCTTTCCAATTGATGAAGGCAACTCTTTTATAGCACTTTCAGATAAGCTCAATATTTGCAGCCCAATGAGATTTCCAATTGATGAAGGCAACTCTTTTATAGCACTTTTAGATAAGTACAATTCTTGCAGCCCGATGAGATTTCCAATTGATGAAGGCAACTCTTTTATAGCACTTTCAGATAAGTCCAATCTTTGCAGCCCAATGAGATTTCCAATTGATGAAGGCAACTCTTTTATAGCACTTTCAGATAAGCTCAATTCTTGCAGCCCAATGAGATTTCCAATTGATGAAGGCAACTCTTTTATAGCACTTTTAGATAAGTACAATCTTTGCAGCCCGATGAGATTTCCAATTGATGAAGGCAACTCTTTTATAGCACTTTCAGATAAGTCCAATCTTTGCAGCCCAATGAGATTTCCAATTGATGAAGGCAACTCTTTTATAGCACTTTCAGATAAGTCCAATCTTTGCAGCCCAATGAGATTTCCAATTGATGAAGGCAACTCTTTTATAGCACTTTCAGATAAGTCCAATCTTTGCAGCCCAATGAGATTTCCAATTGATGAAGGCAACTCTTTTATAGCACTTGCAGATAAGTCCAATCTTTGCAGCCCAATGAGATTTCCAATTGATGAAGGCAACTCTTTTATATCACTTTTAGATAAGTACAATTCTTGCAGCCCAATGAGACTTCCAATTGACGAAGGCAACTCTTTTATAGCACTTCCAGATATGTACAACATTTGCAGCCCAATGAGATTTCCAATTGATGAAGGCAACTCTTTTATAGCACTTTCAGATAAGCTCAATTCTTGCAGCCCAATGAGATTTCCAATTGATGAAGGCAACTCTATTATAGCACTTTTAGATAAGTACAATCTTTGCAGCCCAATGAGATTTCCAATTGATGAAGGCAACTCTTTTATAGCACTTTCAGATAAGCTCAATATTTGCAGCCCAATGAGATTTCCAATTGATGAAGGCAATTCTTTTATAGCACTTTCAGATAAGCTCAATATTTGCAGCCCAATGAGATTTCCAATTGATGAAGGCAACTCTTTTATAGCACTTTCAGATAAGTACAATATTTGCAGCCCAATGAGATTTCCAATTGATGAAGGCAACTCTTTTATAGCACTTTTAGATAAGTACAATTCTTGCAGCCCAATGCGATTTCCAATTGATGAAGGCAACTCTTTTATAGCACTTTCAGATAAGTCCAATCTTTGCAGCCCAATGAGATTTCCAATTGATGAAGGCAACTCTTTTATAGCACTTTCAGATAAGTACAATCTTTGCAGCCCAATGAGATTTCCAATTGATGAAGGCAACTCTTTTATAGCACTTTTAGATAAGTACAATTCTTGCAGCCCAATGAGATTTCCAATTGATGAAGGCAACTCTTTTATAGCACTTTCAGATAAGTCCAATCTTTGCAGCCCAATGAGATTTTCAATTGATGAAGGCAACTCTTTTATAGCACTTGCAGATAAGTCCAATCTTTGCAGCCCAATGATATTTCCAATTGATGAAGGCAACTCTTTTATAGCACTTTTAGATAAGTACAATTCTTGCAGCCCAATGAGACTTCCAATTGATGAAGGCAACTCTTTTATAGCACTTCCAGATAAGTACAACATTTGCAGCCCAATGAGATTTCCAATTGATGAAGGCAACTCTTTTATAGCAGTTATCCCTAAGTCCAATTCATCTAAGGATTTCATTTTGTCTACAATTTCTGGGAAACTCTCCAACTTTATGCAACGGAAAAGACCAAAAAAATTCAGAGATTTCAACCTAACTTTATTTGGAAACTTCGTAAGTTCACTGCAGAAACTAAAATCCAATACTACAAGTTTATCAAGATTTCCAATAGATGGATGAACCTCGACTAGACTCCTACAACGACTCGCATTCAAGTACCTTAAGTTTGGGCTGTTGGAAAGGTCGGGGATTTCAATTAGGAATTTCGATCCCTCGAAATTCAGAGATGTCAACTTTGTCAAATGCTGTGAAATTAAAAATAATAAAAATCAAATGGATAGCATTAAAGAAATTTACAGCATACATCAGTTAATAAACGAGACCTCTTAAACATAATATGGGAAGAGAGAGAGTTTAAAGTACCTTCAACCCCTCCCCTAGTTGTTTGATGCGCATGCGGAACGGATTGAGCACAAATAGTGCCTTTTGAAGAAAATTGCCTGGAAAATATTGGAACGGACATCCATGCCATTCAAGCACTCTCAAATTGTTTGGGATAGAACTGGGGTCTCCAAAAAGGTATACATTGTAGTTTATGAGAATTTTAAGATTTTTCATCTTCGAGAAGCTTCTGCCAACATTCAAGAATATCTCATCATCTTGTTTGGGGAAATTTAACACGATGCCTGTGATTTTATTTGTTCCCTAATAGAAAAAAGAAAAATGTACTAGGTGTTAAAAGGTATTTATAATTTTAAAAAATTATTAAACTTAACACACAACATGTGTTAGTTATTGAATTAAATAAAACAATACACTCACATATAAAATTTAATTTACTTACTGTGTTATTAGTTAGGACATGCTCGACATCTTCATGAAACCACAATCTGCTACGTTCTCCGAGTTCAATGCGCGACTCCTGCTCAATTATGTCCTTACCCATCTTTTCTAGTAAGTCATGCATCTGAATATAAACTCCATGTTCAACACTTATGAGGGCCTTTTGTATGAGTACATCAATGCCATATCTAGTTTTTAGCTCACAAGCTTCTGTCACATAGTTTCTACTTTTACCCTTAAAGAAACATGCGATGTCAAGGAAAACCTCTTGTACGCTACGATGCTAAAGGAGGCTATTGACACATTGTTTTCAAGAGAGGAATTGAGCATTTCTATGGTAAGAGGACAAGGATATGATGGAGCTAGTAATATGAAGGGTGAGTTCAATGGTCTTAAAACACAGATTTTGAGAGAAAATCCTTGTGCCTATTATATTCATTATTTTGCACATCAACTTCAACTAGCTCTTGTGGCCGTGTCAAAGGGAAATGCTGATATTGCCACTTTCTTCACATCTTGCAATAGCTTGGTTAATATTGTTGGAGCATCATGTAAGCGTCGTGACATGCTTAGAGATCAACTACAAGAGGATATTATGGAAGCTCTTGAAAAAGATACTCTTCCAACAGGGCGAGGTTTAAATCAAGAAACTTGTCTCAAGCGTCCCGGTGATACACGTTGGAACTCACATTATGGTACATTACTTAGTATCATTTCCATGTTCAAATCTGTGGTGAAAGTGCTTAAATTGATTATTGAGGATGGCTCCACTGATAATATAGGTGAAGCAAATAGGTCATTGAGAGATATACAATCTTTTGAGTTTGTATTTCACCTATTTTTCAAGAGATCTATATTGGGAATTCATGGGCAATTGAATTATAAACAGCTTTAGCAACTGTGGTCTTACCAATTCCACCAGTTCCCCATACCCCTACCATACGAACATCTTCTTCTTCCCTCAAATCTAAAAGCTTATTCATAACTTGTACTTGAGCTTGCATTCCAACTGGATGCTCTGCCACTTCCAAACACACACGGTTTAATACGTGTTTTGAAATCTCTTCAATGATGTTTTGGATAAACTTAGATTCAGATTGATGCCTGCCAATTGAAAAGAATATGAAGCATTTAGTGACATGGCATTTCTATATAAAATAGAAAAGAAAAAAGAAGAGAATTTTGAGCAACCATGAATAAATTAACTCTTATAAAACTGATTCCAATTAAAGTTTGTCAAGAATTGGAATCAAAACTAGTTTTATTTTTAAAATACACGATCTTATATTTTTCAACTATTTAGTAGTATAATTTTTGAAACGGAGAAAATTAATTTATTATCAGTAGGTAGAGACAGAGATTGAAACTTCCAGTCGCTACTAGAACTACATACTTCTTGTCCCTAGTTTAGATAGAGACAAAGATAGAGAGTGAACATCTTTTCAAAAAAATTACCCCCCCTAGTATTAATTTTGTCAACCTTGACAAAAGCAGTTCTTCGCAAATGAAAATGTAATGCCCTTAAGATAGACAGGACTAGCTAGGATTAGCTAAGTCATTAATTAAAACAGAGAAAAGCATAAAACTAAATAAATACATGCCTTTTACTAAAGTTAAAAGGCCAAATCCAAATTCAATTATTGACAATATTAGTAGTAAAATAAAATAGTAACAAAAAACAGCAAAAAATAGTAAAATAAAATTGACAATATTAGTAGTATAACCTTAATAATTTTCACACTATTAATTAATTATTGACATCAAAAAATTATGTTCATTGATTTCTTTTAACAAATAAATAGTAATTACTTTATTTTTTTTTTGGGATCAAAATGAAGAACTTTCTTCTACACTAAGAACCAGAGTACAGCTATACTTATTACAAACAAAACAAAATAACAAGCATTATGTAAGGGGGTTAGAAATTTACTCGTCCAAGAGAGAGAACCCTGACAAATTTGCTGCTTGTGAAAGAGCTGCCCTCCATCTGTTGACCTTCTCCATATTATCTTTATATTTACACTCCATGTTAGCCAGTGCATCCCCGAAACTACCTCTATGATTCCGTACATCTGATGGATTCACCTTGTAAAAAACTGGGATGACAAGTTGTTCTTTTGATTCTTTGCAGTCAAGAATCTTAACAAGTTCATCCAAGCACCACTTTGAAGAGGCATAGTTTTTAGAGAACACAACGACAGAAATCTTTGATTCTTACAGAAATCTTTGAGTCTTCAATTGCTGTGAGAAGCGTCCTTGATATTTCTTCTCCTCTTCTGAGCTCATCATCATCCATGAAGGTGTTAATGCCGTGTTGACATAAAGCGCTATACAAATGGCCTGTGAAATTGGAGCGAGTGTCCAAACCTCTGAAGCTCAGGAAGACGTGGTGTTTCCATGAATTGGTGAAGGAAGCAGAGGAAGAAGAGGCTCGTTGGTTGGCTATGGAAGCCAACATAATTGTTTCAGTGTTTGGCTATAATCAGAAAAAAGATGAGTCTTACTTGAAGAGTTTTGGGTGTGAGTGACCAAAATGTAAAAGGCTTTTTCTTTGCTTTGAATCCAATGTGAATTCATGAAATGGTGAGGAAGTGTCGCTGAAACTTCCAGTCTTCAATTATTGACGCGTTTTCCCTGACACGAGCTGTCAATTACTTTTGGGTTATGTTTTATTTTCCAGTCTTCAATTCATGAAAAGGTGAGGAAGTTGCGGGGAAGAGGGGAGAGAGAAAGGGAGGGGGAAGAAAAGAAACACAAAGGGGAGTGGAATGGAGGAAAAAAAGGGGACGACCAGCTTTTGGTTAAATTATTTTATTTTTTTGTTCTATTTTGTATAGAATTTTTTAACCTTTTAGACGTTGACCCCTGCAAACAAAATTCCTGGATCCGCCACTGTTGACATCCATGCTTGAAATTTAACAAAGAAAAGCAGTTCTTCTCAAATGAAAATGTAATGCCATTCTTCTGCAAATTAAAATTTAACAGGACTAGGATTAGCTAAGTCATTAATTAAAACGGAGAAAAGCATAAAACTAAGAACCAGAGTACAGCTATACCTATTACAAACAAAACAAAATAACAAGCATTATGTAAGGGGGTTAGAAATTTACTCGTCCAAGAGAGTGAACCCTGACAAATTTGCTGCTTGTGAAAGAGCTTCCCTCCATCTGTTGACCTTCTCCATATTATCTTTATATTTACACTCCATGTTAGCCAATGCATCCCCGAAACTACCTCTATGATTCCGTACATCTGATGGAGTCACCTTGTAAAAAACTGGGATGATGACCCGTTGTTGATTCGATTCTTTGCAGTCAAGAATCTTAACAAGTTCATCCAAACACCACTTTGAAGAGGCATAGTTTTTAGAGAACACAACGACAGAAATCTTTGAGTCTTCAATTGCTGTGAGAAGCGTCCTTGATATTTCTTCTCCTCTTCTGAGCTCATCTTCATCCATGAAGGTGTTAATGCCGTGTTGACATAAACCGCTATACAAATGGCCTGTAAAAGTACAATCTTTTAAGAGCGAAATGTGCTGAAGAAGTTGGAAAATGTCTACATCTTAAGGATTTTACAGAAATGCCAACAGAAAAGTTTCTACACGGAGAGACAACAAAAAAGTTTGCAGATTGTATGACTTATTATATCGATGAGTGTGTTTAGAAACATATGAAGATTTAGTACCTTAATTATGTTGTCAAATTTGAGCTCTGGTGTATGGACAATTTTACTCTATTCTCTTTCTTTCTTGACACGAAAGTTTAAAAAAATATAAATTTGAATTCTTTCATATGCTCATGTAGTTTTTGTGATCAATTTTTGTAATCGGATTTAAGCTCTAACACCCTAATTAAGGTTCACTTAAATCTCAAGAACAGGGACAAACTCTCCCACTTTGGCTACACTTGATCTAGCCGCTGTAATTAGGATGACCAAAACTAAAGTTATAATATAATGCTCATTAAATGTTATTTTTTCTATGTCACAGATGTCATTGCTGAGTAGACATTGAATAATTATGTGGTTTCGCAAGGGGTGTGATTAAGTGCCCTAGTAGTATTATATTGAATAGAGACAGTACTTTGTTGAACCATTAAAGCAATATTATCTTGTGTTTTGTCTCTTCCCTTATTAATAAACCAATGCTCTATTTGTGCATGTCCTTATTTGTTAGGCATGCTGACATGTCACGCCATTGTGAATTTTTTATTTTGATTTTAAAAAATCCAAAATTAAAATTTAATAAAATTTATTTTTAAAAGGGTGCTTTTCCTAGCAAGTGACTTTTTTTTCAAATAACGTTTTATAAGCTAAATTAAGATAAAGGAAGATAGAATTTTTTATTTTTTATTTATTATTTTCAAATAACGTCATACTGTGTATTTATGTATATAAATATATCTTATGCAAGATGCATTTCATAAAGATAATTAGGTATAAAAGTAATTTAAGAAAATCATATACGAGTTTTTAAAGTATTAATATTGGGATGTTTGATCTTTATCCCAGTCTTTAGCTGATTCCATTGAATCTCTATTTGTTAAGCATTTCCTTACAAAATACAAAAAAGTACAATCTTTTAAGAGTGAAATGTGCTGAAGAAGTTATTGGAAAATGTCTACATCTTAACGATTTTACAGAAAAGTTTACACGCAGAGAGACAACAAAAAAGTTTGCAGATTATATGACTTATTATATTTATGAGTGTGTTGAGAAACATATGAAAATTTAGTACCTTAATTATGTTGTCAAATTTGAGCTCTGGTGTATGGACAATTTTACTCTACTCTCTTTCTTTCTTGACACGAAAATTTAAAAAATATAAATATGAATTCTTTCATATGCGCATGTAGTTTATGTGATCAATTTTTGTAATCGGATTTAAGCTCTCTAACACCCTAATAAAGGTTCACTTAAATCTCTAGAACGGTGACAAACTCTCCCACTTTGGCTACACTTGATCTAGCCGCTGTAATTAGGATGACCAAAACTAAAGTTATAATATAATGCTCATTAAATGTTATTTTTTCTGTGTCACAGATGTCATTGCTGAGTAGACATTGAATAATTATGTGGTTTCGCAAGGGGTGTGATTAAGTGCCCTAGTAGTATTATATTGAATAGAGACAGTACTTTGTTGAACCATTAAAGCAATATTATCTTGTGTTTTGTCTCTTCCCTTATTAATAAACCAATGCTCTATTTGTGCATGTCCTTATTTGTTAGGCATGCTGACATGTCAAGATAGATCAGAATGGTCAAGTTTAACCAAATGTATGTAAATGGAGGTTTGGCGAGTTGGTCAAGGTAATGTAGTTGTTCCTTGCACTCAAGTTCTATTCCCCTTTCTATGCATTAAAATAATACATGGGATGGGATCTCTTCCAATAGGGAAAAAGATAGTTGGATTTAGGTGGATCATCATGTAACGGGATAACACTTTTTGCTATTCCCTGTCAATACCGCAATGACACGTAAGATAACTTTTTCACATGTCATTGTATTATTAATCGGAGATAGCAAAACAATGCTATCCCATGTAAACTTTTTTTCCCACAACAGGGAAGGACGGAGTCACGGAGGTCCTTTGGAACTTTTTCTAGTGGTAAATAGCTGTACACAATCATTCTGTTTTTCTATTCACCAAAGCCAATCGCTCTGTTTTTGTTTTTGTTTTCCTTGAAATAGAATTATTATTTCTCATTTTAAATTATACTTTAATTAAGAATACTTTAATTGAGATTTAGAAAATGTACTTTCAACGAGTGAATGAACTTGTAATCCATTATTCCCTAGTTTCCTATTTTCTCTTTTTGTTTGACAAATATTACTGTCTAGTTTCAATTTCAGAAGCCACATTTTATTTATTAACTAGAAAGCAAAAAATTGTAGTATTTCAAAGATTCACTGAAATTTTAAAAATATGCGCAGGGCTTTGATTCGACTAAGCAAAACTTGAAATGAAAACTCTGAACAACCCAACACAAAACACAATACTCAAACCTCAATAAAAATAAGAATAAAGATTTGAAGTTGTGCTGCCATTGCCAATTATATCTTTGAGAATCAGCTGCCTTTGAATATTAGCAGACAGAGGCCGGGGAGAAGAGAGAAACCATACATCAAAGGTCTCCTTCAACTTCAAGACTTTGCTAGAAGAAATGCTGCATATCAGATCGATCAAATTTTCTTTAAAATGGTCATCAGCAAAACAGAGATTACATATTTTGGAGACTTTAGAAATTTCAGTGGGACCAATGATCATTTAAGTCTTCGTCGCCTACATCATCATCATCATCATCAGCCTCATCTTCATGATCAACATCCTCATGCATGCTGATAGTAGCCAGTGGACCCCGCAACACTTCTGATTGTCAATTGTAGGCTTAGAAAGTCACAACGCCAATAAATAGAAACCAACAAACATTGGAAGAAACAATGGTCAACCTCAAATAGGTTTCGAAAGTCAGAGGTGATATTTTTTTCTCTTTCTGGGTCGAACTTCATCACCTACATCATCATCATCTAATTCATTTTCATCATTTTTGCCATCATCACCATCCTTCGGCATACTGATATCAGCCAGGTGCGCCCCGCAGCTTTTGAAGAGCAACCTTTCGCCTCCGTAGGAAAAAGTAACTCGACACAGGTAAGACTTCTTCAATTGATCATCACTCTCTTTATCATTAACATTCGGCTCGATGAAATAATCAGCTAGTGGAATATACTGCAGCCATACATGAGCTGAGTCTATCTTTCTTGAACTAAACCGATCATTATATGTGTCTACTCCATCGATTGTAACTCCAGCCTCAATGTTATAAGAGCCACCACAACAATTTTCGAAAACAGCACATAAAACCAATTTTGCGTTCTCCCATTTGAAAGCCCGAGGGATTTCTACAACAAGTTCACATATATCGTCAGAGTAAGGTTCAAAACCATAATCCTGATTAAGAAGCACACCTACGTCCTTACGACAACTGAACCACTCTGGAACTTCACTGCCTGGAAGTTTAACCTCAATCTTATACTTCTTCATCTGTAACACAACACACGCATATATTTTAATTAATTAGTCGTGCGTATGTGCATAGTATTAACAACTATATATATATATATATATATATATATATATATAGAGAGAGAGAGAGAGAGAGAGAGAGAGAGAGAGAGATACAACACCTGATTCAGTAAAATATTTGCAATCTTTGAAACGTACAGATTATCGCATAGCCTACGGCAATTACACATGTCCATCACACGAATGAGTTGCATGTCTCCGTCCTCCAATGCTGAAAATCTTTCCAGTGATATGCAATCACCCACATCAATCTCTTCTATATTCGGTGGAAGTTGTACAATTTCTCTAAGCATCTTGCAACAACTCAAATCAAGCTGCCGCAACTTGACAAATTTGCTAATGCATACAGGAAGACTGATAAAATTGTTTTTGCATAGAACCATCCGATGTAATTCAGACGAACCACCAAAATTCTCCAGGAAATCAATGTCTAATAAATTGCAATCTTCAAAATATACATATTGTAGTTCCGGAAATGCTAATGAGCCAAAGTTGTCATGTGAGATGTTTGAGTTAGTTAGGACCTCCAAAGGAAGTGATTCCACACTCGATAAAACTTCAGAGTTCAAGTTATTTCGAAGTGTGAGTTTTGGGCAAAAATTCAGATCAAGAACTTCCAGATGTTGCAACCCATAAATACTCTCTGGCAGATTTGTAATGTTTCTACATCCTTGTAACGCTAAACGTTCGAGTGCAGTGAGATATCCAATTGACGAAGACAACTCTTTTAGAGGAGTATAACATAAGGATAACGTTGTCAGCCCAGTGAGATGTCCAATTGATGAAGGTAATTCTTTTACAGCAGTTCCATCTAGATTCAATTCACATATGAATTCCATTTTGTCCACCACTTCTGGGAAACTCTCGAACATTTTGCAAAAGGAAAGAAGCAAATGTTTCAGAGATTTCCACCTAACTTTTTTTGGAAACTTCGCAAGTCTAGGGCAGCCACTTAAATCCAATACTTCAAGTTTGCCGAGATATCCAACAGATGGATGAACCTCAACTAAATTGCTACAGTACAGTGCATACAAGTACTTTAAGTTTGGGATGCTGGATAAGTCCGGGATTTCCGTTAGAAATACTGAAACACTTAAATTTAGAGATGTCAACTTTGTGAAATGCTGTGAAACCAAAAAAAGAATAGAAGAATCAGAATTCACAACATACATCAGTTAATAAAAGAGACCTTTAAAAATAACGAGGAATGAAAAATAATTTATAGTACCTTCAATCTTTCGCCTGGTTGTTTGAGCCTGTTGCGAGGTAGATTGAGCACAACTAGTTCCTTTGGACGAAAATTGGGCAGGAAAGATTGGTAAGGACATCCATACCAATGAAGCACTCTCAACTTGTTTGGGAGATGACCAACATCTCCATCAAGGAATGCGTTATAGTTTATGAAAAGTTTAAGATTTTTCATCTCCAAGAAGCTGTCAACATTGAAGTGTATCTCATCATCATCTGGGTCGGGGAAATTTAACATGATTCGTGTGATTTTATTTGTTCCCTAACATAAAAAATAGCAAAATATACCATAGTTAATATTTATATACATAAATTGCAAGAGTTTCAAATTTTATTTTTCTTCAAGATTGAAATACTAATAATTATATTTTTTGAGTTGAATAAAACATGACACACACACACACATATATATAATTTAATTTACGTACCGTGCTATTAGTCAGAACATGGTCGACATCCTTATGAAACCACAATCTACTACGTTCTCCAGGTTCAGTGGGTGATTCTTGGTGAACTATGTCCTTACCCATCTCTTCTAGTAAGTCATGCATCTGAATATAACTTTCTTCAACACTTATGAGGGCCTTTTCAATGAGTACTTCAATACCATACCTAGGGTTGAGGTCACAAGCTTCTAGCGTTTCTATCGCATAGTTTCTACTTTTACCCTTAAAGAAACATGCGATGTCAAGGAAAACCTCCTTGACAATATCATCCAAGGTATCGTAACTTATTTTGAGAACATCTTGAATTTTCTTGCTTTTGAAACCATCCAATGCAGCTTCCCATTTATCTATACTTCCACCACATAGACAAGAACCGAGAACTTTCAAAGCCAAAGGAAGGCCTTGAGCATAGCGTATTGCACGTTCTGCAAGTTTCATATAATCACCCAAAGGAGGCTCGCTTCTTTTGAAGGCATGCCAACAGAAGAGCTGAAGAGCTTTATCATCATCTAAAATATTGACCTCATGTATTAAATTAACATCATGAGCACTTAACAGTTGCTTATCCCTTGTTGTTATGATAATTCTACTGCCTACACCAAACCAATCACATGCCCCAACTAACTTGTGTAACTGTTCCATGTCATCCACGTCATCAAGAACCAAGAGAACCTTTCTACGACTCAACCATTCCTTTATCATAGTGACTCCTTTATCAACATTGGTCACCTTCAATTTTTCCCCCCTTAGAATCTCAAAAAGAAGAGTCTTTTGCAGTTTGGCTAAATCTCCATACCACATTGAACATTCTCTAACGTTTGCCAGAAAACAACAACCTTCAAATTTGTGGGCAATGGAATTATAAACAGCTTTAGCAATTGTTGTCTTACCTATTCCACCAGTTCCCCATACCCCTACCATACGAACATCGCTTTCCCCCAAATCTAAAAGCTTATTCATAACTTGTACTTGAGCTTGCATTCCAATTAGTTCCCATGACTCCGAAGCCAGTGAGCTCCCAAAAGGCCTCGTGCTAGGAAGAGAAGTGCCCACACATTTAAAGCACTTCACCTTTCCCTCCCCGAGCGATATGGGATTGCTCACCGTTCTTGTTTCCCCAAGACACGGGTCTTACAATCCACCCCCATTGGGGCCCAACGTCCTCGCTGGCACACTTCCGGTCGGGGTCCAGCTCTGATACCATTTGTCACGACTCAACTCCCCTAGCACAATATTGTCCGCTTTGAGCCCCCTTCTCTGCCCTCACGGTTTTGTTTCTGGGAGCTCACGAGCAACTTCCCAGTGAGTCACCCATCCTGGGATTGCTCTAGCCCCCAACTCGCTTAACTTCGGAGTTCCCACGACTCCTAAGCCAGTGAGCTCCCAAAAGGCCTCGTGCTAGGAAGAGAAGTGCCCACACATTTAAAGCACTTCACCTTTCCCTCCCCGAGCGATATGGGATTGCTCACCGTTCTTGTTTCCCCAAGACACGAGTCTTACAAACCCCATGTCATCAGTTCGAATCCCCTTGTGGGTGCACCCATCCCCTTAGAATAGAATATCGATTGAAAAAATAAAATAAAATATCAACTACTTAGAGTATCCACAATCATGCTCTTTATTTTTTAGTTAAAATTTAGCTAAACACACCATAAAGCTGAACCTCTAAGTAGTGCTTAGAATTTTAGTTGAGGGGTTTGAGTCTCTCCTTTTCGCCTAGAGTCGTGAGAGTTTCCAGAATGTGACAGAGTCCAAGACTACTCTTTTGGTACTGTAGTTGAGTGCATGTCACTGTGGGAGGTTTTATTCTCTTGGCTGGGTAAGATTTTTGATTGTCTCTTTGCTTCTATGAATGCGATTGTGGACAAACTTACCATGCAACTCAATCTCACTGAGGATGGAAACACGTCTATAGTAATTGAGTAACCTATTAGAAACAATAAGCAAGCTCAACTTCTCTTTTTAGTTGGGAGGCTTCTCACCCTGAAGGATTTCAAGGTACATTATTTCTTTATGAGGACCATGAAGAAGCTTTGGTCACCAAGAGCTTGTGTAGAGATCTGCCAGTTGGAGCATGGGCAGAAATTGTGTGCTTGAATGTAGTCTTTGGAATTTTGAGAATGCTCTTCTGATCTTGGAAGAAACTGATGATTTTGAAGATCCCAATGAGTTCCCCTCACTAAACAACCTTTGTGGATTAGTGTAATAACCCGATCATAAATTAATATATAATTATTAAAATATTCAAGTAAAAGACAATTTTACCCCAGGAATATTTCAATGGTTTAAAAGTTGACTTTTTGTTCATGGAAGAATTTGGGGATTTGGGTGGTACAGTTGCGTCGGGCTCGTCGATATGAGTCCGTAGATAGGTGGCACACCCGATTCCGAGTTGTAACGAAGGAGGAAAAGTCTGAAAACGAAAACGATGTAAAGGAAATTTTCAAATTCTTTTACTATAGCAAACAGTACCGCTTCAGTAACCGTCAGTTTTAAGTTTTTTTTTCTTTTTCTCTTCTTCCTCCCATTCCATTCGCAAAAATAGCCCCCCCTCCCCCAACACTATTCATCCATTTGGTTTTCACCTCACCACCGCCACATCCGGCCGCTATTTTTGGCGGGATTGGTACCAAAATGTCAAGCTCACTTCCCTCTTCCCATCCCGACCAACCTCAGCCGCTGGAACCACTGGAGTTGGCTGGAAAAAGAAAAAATCCGACTAGTTTTGACCCATTTTTGACAGATTTTCTCAAGCTCGTTTCAGGTGATTCCAACGACCAATTTTTGCGAATTTGGTATGCTTTTCTATCCTTTCAATGTGTTCTAGCTGCTGGTTGTGGTACTTATGAGAAATTTCTGTGTTTTAATGGGTAAATAAGTGATAAGAGTTTGGCCGGTTTTCGACCTCCGATTCCGGCAACTTCAGTCGACTTTTTAGGGTAGGTCCAAGAACAAAAGTTGCTCCACTCAGTGTGATGATCATATAGGTATAGGCCTTGACCAGCGGTTTGGAGTTTTTCCGATCACCGGAATTTGATTTGGACACCCACGCACTGCCCGCGCATGGGGTGGCACGTGGTGGCCTATCATTAAGTCCTAAAATGATCCTCATGTTGTGCCGAGCACGACGGTATGCTCGGATATGAATTTGGTTATCATTTGATAGTCGATCGGATATCGCATAATAGGCATTATCCGAGTTCGATATGTTCGGACCGTTGGATCGACTTCATTTCAATATATGTTGATTTAGGCATCTCTAGGATCATGTAGGAATTCACGGATTGTGAATCGCAATCCCGGATACTCCGATACAATGACTTAAAGTTTGTGTTAAACGATAACCAAACTTGCAGGACATACTTATTAAACCTTGTTGAACCCGTAGGAACTTTCGGATTGGGAATCAGAGGTCGTGGGCCCTACGGGCCCAGTTGAACGAGTTTGGACAGTTTGACCCTTGGTTAACCGTGAGTCTTCTAAGGTAGTTTCACCCTTCGAGAAGTGCTTGAACGAGGCTTGACTGTGTGTGCATTATCTTGATTATGTTTGAATTGAGTTTATGTTATATCATGATATTCGAAGTTTATCTTGTTACTTATCTAATTATTAGTATTATGAGTATTATTAAAGTGTATGACTGGGTGATGTTGGATTATTCAAAGGTTTATGGGTTATGAGATAATCGCTTTTATTTTCTAAGGGCTTTATACTAGGTTTGGTCGTGTAAGTTAGGAACGGCTTATTAATTGGATTTTGGTGTGGTCGAGAAATTAACTAAATGTTTATTATATGTTTAAATTTATTGGTGCGGTCGAGGGTTTTGGTGTGGAATAAGGGAAACTTTATGATAAGTTCAAAATACGGTTTTCAAACCCACCATAGGAGTACCCCTCAGTTGCCTTTGAAACAGTTTGTTCTTTATGACAATGCCCCACGAGTTTTAGGGACGCCTGAACCGTGTGAAGCAAGGATGTGCGTTCTCAGGCTGACTACATGTCCCCCGAGTTCTGCAAGGATTACGGCTCGGGTTGACCTTGTGTCGCCGAGGCCTGCGAGGAATGCGGCTTGGGTTGACTTTGTGTTACCGAGGCCTACGAGGATGTGTTACATTATGAGACACAATGAATTGACGGTTTAATGTGGGAATCAAATGGAAATATAATCTGTTTAAAGTGTAGATGTTGACATTCAGATTTCACGTGGTTAATGCTATTTTAAAAATTTCTCATTTTCCTATTTATATGTAATAAGTTAATTATATATATATATGTATATGTATTTATAAATGAGCCTTATGTGAGTTTCGAAGGAAAGACTAAAAGTGTGTATATATATATATATATGTATTTATAAATGAGCCTTATGTGAGTTTCGAAGGAAAGACTAAAAGTGTCTTCGAAGCTTATATATATATATATAATTTAAGCAAGTAATATATAAACTGCTTTATGAATTAGAGGAAATTCAGTGAGTAGCCCATGTATGTGCAAGTATGAACTGTTTTGAGAATTGGGAGAGTTGGAAAGTATTACTTTAGAGTTAAATGTTATTGAGCATATCACTAATATGAGAACTAGGATTGATTTGTCATCACAACATAAGATAACAATTGACAATATATACAAGTGCGATATAAAAAGAGGAAGAACTACGTGTGGCTTGATCCCTCAATAAGAGTACGTAGGTAGCCTGGGGTCTCACTCGGGTGCAGCCGCGAACTAAAGATATTTTTGGAACTTTAATTTAGTCGTTTGGATCTAATCTCACTTCTTTTGGTTTTAGAATGAGTTGGTGTCGATCGTGTCGGTGGTTTTAAAGCTCGTTTGAAAACGAGGCTTGATTTAATGAATATTCTTTTCCCCGTCGGACTAAGTGAGTGTTGTTAAGTGTGGTTGTGGTCAAGACAGTTTTGAAACCCGTTTTGGATTGTTGTATGATTTGGGGGCCGAGTGCTTAAAATACTTGTGATTGTGTTGGGTTGATAAACATCGTACGATGGAAATTGAGAAGTTATTTTATGTTAATTATGGTGGGCATGCATAATTGAATTCGAGTTCATTATTTGCTTCGTTAAATCTCATTATTTGACTTTAGAGCCGCTGGTGGTTCTGTTTTAAATTATTGAAGGTTAGAGGCCTAGTTTGTAAATTGCTTGAAGGTTAACTTGTGCATTCTGCTAGTTGTGGATATTAATTGTGTTTTAACATGTTGAAAAATCTTGGGAAAAGTCCAATTTACAGGGGAGACTCTGCCAAATTTTCGACAGAAGTCTAACCCTAAAAGAAATTGTGATTTTCATTAGAAGGGCATTTTGGTCAAGTGTGCCCAGCACCCGCCAAGTGTCAGACATGCACAGGGTCCGGCGCAGATTCCAAAGTGGAATTTGGGTCGGGTCCTGTCAATTAGAGTGAAGGGTGTCCCTCTGGCATATATGGAGAGGAGTACTGGTCAACTCATTGGTGATATTTTGGGGAGGTTTGTTGAGACTGATTCTGGAATATGAGGTACTTGCTTGGGAAGTTTTTCTGAGAATTAAGGTTATTATTGATGTTACTCAACCCCTGAAATGATGTATGCATTTTACTTTCCGAGAGGTTGGGAGTTGTCTCCTTTTGATTAAATATGAAAAGCTTCCAAATTATTGTTATCTGTGTGGCCTTTGTGATCATGTTTTGAATCAGTGCTCGCTTAATGATTCTGTTATTAACCATGGGGATTTCAAACCCTTTGGTTCATGGTTCAGAGCAGAGGTCAAAGAATGGTTAGATGAACATGAGACCAAGGCACCCAACTCTTCGTATGTGTATCGTTTCTCAACTTCTTTCATCTTCTCCCAATCCTTCAGTTTCTCCATGGAGTTGTCTTCCTCACCTCAAAACCTCATGTTCCAATTTCTTATTACTTTGTATTCTAACCCATCACACTCTGAGGATTACCATGAGGGAAAAACTCTATAGAAAAGCAAAATGAAGTAAAGACCCTAAGAAGTTCTTTTGGATGTTAATTTAAAACTAACTATAAAATAAAGTAGTAGTTGATAAGGGAGAGGGAGAGAGAGATGGAGGGTGGACTGTATGAAAGGTAGATGGATTCAATGATACAGTCGAGAAAAAACAAAAACAAAAAGAAGAAGACTTCAATTGGTGGAGATAAGGGAAAGAGACAGTGGAGGAGGCAGAGTAGGGTTACAGCCGATTGGCTGGAGTATTCTTTTATTTTATTTTATTTCTAATGTTATTTTAAAGGGTAAAATTGGAGGTCAAAGTCCAGCTGTACAAGTATTTTTTATTTTCTTTTAAATGGAACGTGTGGCAAATTTTGAATGAGAGTATCATATGCTGACGTGGTAGTACTGTACTATTCTATAATTTCTCGTGGGGATGAGCCAACTGAAGAAATTTTTTACTATTTTTTTATAGAATTTTTTTAATTGTAATGGCAAATATGAAAATACAATTAAATGGTATTTTAGGAATAACGGTAGGTGGAAAGATATGTTTGTGATTTTTCAAATTTTCATTGTGGGTAAGGAAATAGAACAGAGAGTGAAAATAGCAGCACTTTTTTGAAATGGCCAAAATTACTTTCTTATACATTAATAATCTTTTTAAAAAAAAATAATTTCCAAACTGCTAATTAGTTACTTTTTATTTGAACTGTTAATAATCTTTTAACAAGAATTATTATTACTCTTTTTTATCAGAAAGAAAAAATTCATTCAAGCTTAAAAAATAACAACCAGGCCAGTGGGTTCTACCACAGTGGTGGTGACTTCCCCCTCCCCCCCACGGCATCCCAGTTCGATACCCCATGTGTGCACATTGGTGCTTTTTTTATTTGAACTGTTAATAATCTTTTAACAAGAATTATTATTACTCTTTTTTATCAGAAAGAAAAAATTCATTCAAGCTTAAAAAATAACAACCAGAGTACAAATATAGTGGCTGATTATTAAAATAAAAAATAAAGAAAACTCATTATATAAGGAGGGTTAGAAATTTACTCGTCCAAGAGAGTGAACCCTGACAAATCTGCTGCTTGTGAAAGAGCTGCCCTCCATTTGTTGACCTTCTCCATATTATCTTTATATTTGCACTCCAAGCGAGCCAGTGCATCCCCGAAGCTACCTCTATGATTCCGTACATCTGATGGATTCACCTTGTAAAAAACTGGCATGACCAGTTGTTGATTTGATTCTTTGCAATCAAGAATCTTAACAAGCTCATCCAAACACCACTTTGAAGAGGCGTAGTTTTTTGAGAACACAACGACAGAAATCTTTGAGTCTTCAATTGCTGTGAGAAGCGCGCTTGATATTTCTTTTCCTCTTCTGAGCTCATCATCATCCATGAAGGTGTTAATTCCTTGCTGGCACAAAGCGCTATACAAATGGTCTGTGAAGTTGTAGCGCGTATCTTCGCCTCTGAAGCTCAGGAAGACATGGTATTTCCATGAGTTGGTGAAAGAAGCAGAAGAAGAAGAGGCTCCTTGGTTAGCCATGGAAGCCAAGATAACTGTTTCAGTGTTTGGCTGTTGTCAAAAAACAGATCAATCTTACTTGTTTTCTGCGAATCAAACTGACCAAAGAGTTTGGGTGTGAGCAAATGCAAAAGCTTTCTCTTTGCTTTGCATCCAACGTGAATTTATGAAAAGGTGAGGAAGTGTCGGTGAAACTTCTTCCAGTCCTCTTCAGTGTAATTATTGACGCGATTAATAGGGAAGGAGATCCTTTACTTGTTTGTGGCTAGAACTTTTTCTAGTGCAGAATCATTCTGCTTTTGCTTTTTCCTTGAAAACCAATCAATCTGTTTGGTAATAGAATTATTTTATTTTTTCTCATTCAAATAGAGATTTTGAAAAAGTACGTTCAACAAGTGAATGAAATCGCAATTCCTGCAATCTATTATTGCCTACTTTCTCTTATTATTATTATTTTTTCCTGTTACCAAAATATTATTTCCTCTAGTTTCAAAAGCCACATTTTATTCATTAAGGAATTTGCAAGAGCCATCGACATAGTATTAATCTAGCCAATGTTGTTAGAGTTTGTATATAAAAAATATACTTGCATTTAGTCTCACATTGGAAGGCAGTTATTCCTTCCATAATTTATAAGCACCAACACTTTAAAAATACTAAATAGGGTATGGGCCTAGTGGAGCTCATGTACAAACTTTTATTCATGAAATAGATATCTACATGTATTCTTGAAATGTGCATATGTAATTATTTATGTAAAAAACATAGCGAACAACAAAAATATAAGACAAACACAAGGTCCTTATACCATCATAGTCAAAGGTCCTCTCGAGGTGTCCTGCTCGTAGGCATTAGAAAATGAAAATACACACAAACAAAAAACCAACCATAACAAAAAAAACAAACAAACCTAAGAATTTTTTAGGGAAGGCGCAATATTTAAAAGGATAAAAACTCATAAAAAAATTTAGACTATCAAATGCCCTTAAATTTTATAAATACTATTGTCATTTTCAAAATTCATATAAATTATTAATTAATCTAACATAAATTAATATGAATTAATTTAATAAAAATGCATATCAAATTATCAATTAAACAAACAAATCAAAATGCATACCTCAAGTTGTGTGCCGCACAACATCTTCAAGTTTGCTACTGATATAAAGAAAGCGTGAGCAAAAAAATACATGAGAAGAAATAAATATTATTTTATAAAAGAAATGATGATATAATGCAAAAGGCCAAAAAACGAGCACATAAAAAAGCATGTGGCTAAGAGGGCCACATGGCCAAGCAAACAAAACAAAAGAAAGCAAGAGGAGATAACAAAGCAACTCAAAATGATGCCCTAAACTTGACTCGGTCCCATAAAAATGCATATCAAATTATCAAAAAACAAACAAATCAAAATGATATCTTGCAAGAGGAGGACTCCTTCCAGACTGCACAGTGGGTTTTTTTAATTAATTTTTTTTCTCCCTAGACCAAAACGACCTCGTTTTGGCTAGGAGTTTTTGAAAAAGAGGAAGCGCATCAAACTCAAAGTAGAAGCCGCTGCGGCATTTCCACGGACACTTGGAGCACTCAGCTTACAATCTTGTTCTAGAAGGAGAATTACTCACCTAATGATCTGCGATCTGCCAGATAAAACAAACAAGGCGTGAGCAAACAAGCCGCTCAGTGAGTAGTTTTTTCATTTTGACATGACGATGAAGAAAGAAGTAAGCTCAACACCCTGTGCATCTTTTAAATGAGTAGCTACTGCTCTCGAATTTCTTATGAGCACTATACTCCGGATCTTTTAAATACATTGATGAAGTATGCATAAACGATATTCTTGATGCTGCAAAGTCTTTGAGGTTTTCTCATGATTTCTAAAATTTGTTTCTTTCTTTGTTGTTGTCGTCATGGTATTCTTTTGTTTTTGTTTTAAAAAAAATATTTCCTCTACTGCAATTGTTCGCGCTTCAATAATTAAAAGGCATTTAGCAAACAAATCCCCCTAAAATAAAGGACAGATTTCCATGATTGGTTGGAGGAGTTGATGCATTCATCAAGGTCCCTCAAGGTTGGCCATTGTTAAGTTCTCCAATGAAACTGATCAACATTCAAAGGGAAGTTCTTTAAGTTTTCTGTGCAAGGTTCAGGTCAGTGTACACCTCCTTATCTCTTACTAGTTTCCTTACTTCGGGGTGGATATTTGAGAAATTTCATCAAATTGATGTGCTCTGTTATGTGATTCATTTTCTAAATCTAAATGTTTAACATGGTTCTTCTCACTTCTCCGTGATCTGTAACGGAATTTATCTTCGGAATCTGAATGCTTAACAGGGTTCTTCCCACTTCGATGTGCTCTGATACGTGATTCATCTTCTGAATCTGAATGCTTGAAAGTATTCTCACGTCGATGTGCTCTTTTACGTGATTCATCTTCTGAATCTGAATGCTTGAAAGTATTCTCATGTCGATGTGCTCTTTTACGTGATTCATTCATCTTCTGAATCTGAATGCTTGAAAGTATTCTCATGTCGATGTGCTCTTTTACGTGATTCATCTTCTGAATCTGAATGCTTAACATACTTTGATATCTTACGAAGACCACTCTTCAGCAGTGTCATTATCTGAATCTGATGCTTGTATGGATGATGAATGTTTGCTATGCTTTGAAGCACCAGTATGGTGCTTCTTCTTCTGATGTTCCTTCTTGTCATGCAGTTTCTCTGCAGGCTTCTTCTCCTCAACCTTTTATTGAAAAAAATATATTGATCAGCATATACACGTCAAACACTCTCTTAAACTAATCATAGACATCTACTAAAACCCTGATAAACTCAGCAAAAGACCCAAAAAACCTTAGTAATAAAATGCTATTGTGGTGTAAACCGTGGGTGCAATCCATGCCACGTGAACAGAAACACAGCTACAGCTGTTTGAAATTACTGCTAGAAGAACTCTAATTATCCATGCCACGTGGATAAAAAGAGATCGTGAAGACTTATAGATCTACTGAGGTCATGATCAGTAGGCTTCTGTAATTAACAAGTCTAGCTATAGGCTTCTGTAATTAACAAGTCTTCTCCCTGTTTTTTTCTTCAAACTTTCATACTCTCTGAGCCAGTTACATCATTTTTCTTCTTGGCAGCCTCCCTTCATACACACTTCTTCCACACCCAACTCGTTAATTTTCTCAACAAACTACTTTTTCTTCCACATATCAGACATCATGATTCCCCAATCCTGTCTTTCAGGTCCTAAAACCCATGCAGCACACCAAAATGGCACCGGTGACCATATTTTTATATCTACAGATTTTTATAGTGAGAGGTAGAATTTTATATAATTGGCAGACTTCGAAATCATCAAGTCATGTCTAACTATGCTGTCTGGCATAACTAATTTATTCTTGATTAGTGAGGAAGAGAAAAGTAAAAAAAGACAAACTTACAGATTTGCGAATCATGGCCATCTGGACAGGATTGTTCTTAATACGAGAAAGGGCTTCCTGCTCACGCTGCCAAATCATAAGCAAAGGATCCGAGTGGAGCTTCCTCCAAGCATCATTGGCGGATTGAGGCTTTTCTTCAAACAGAGCTCCCTGCACAGATGCTGATGCCTGCTGCTGGAGATTCAGTAGTCTATATACAATTTGAAGAAGAAGATGCACTGATCATAAGAAACATGACTTTGCAGTTGCACTACATTTTATACAATATCATTGATGCACACAATTGGGAAATTAAAGATCAGAAATACAAATACCTTGGAGGCGGCAGAGGAGGAAGGCCCTTCTTCGGTCTTGGGTAAGGCTTCAAGGGTTTTGAAACTATCGGAACCACCAGGGCGCCCAACGGCCAATCCCGAATCATACAAGAACTCCAACCGCTCTTGCCTCCTGCAAATAACAATCAATTGCAGTTGATTAAGGATTAATTGACGAATTTGAAGAAAGAAAAATAAATAAACCTAACCCTAAGAAGAAAGATAAAGGAATAAGATTAAAATTGCTTACGGGACGAGGCCGGCTTGCTCCTGGAGAAGGCGGAACTCAGAGCGCTCGCGCTCTTCAACGATCTGTTTGCGGAGCTCGTCCAACTTCTTCTGCTCGGCCTCGTGCTTTTGCTCTGCCTTCCACACGTTCTCTATGTTCCGAAGGCTCCCTGTGTGCCATCCCTTCTTGTTCAGAAATTTCAACGCCATTCTTCCGGGCTTTATTCTTTGCCACCTTGTCGCCCGTTATATCTTGGGAAAAATAAAAAAAAAAACAGTATTGGTGGATTAATTTAGGAAATTCAAAAGATGTATTTTGGTTTTTTCTTTTCACCTTAAAATATATAATTTTCGCTGAATTACCCACCCTAAACTATAATTTTCCCAATTCAATTCCGACTCAAATATCAAATACCAAAATAATAAAAAAGACATACAATAGCTTAGAACAAAAATCATAATTTGCTTAAGGGCCAATTTGGCATTGCTATGCTGTAAAAATAATTACTTTGAGATTTGTTGTGAGAGAAATCAGCTGTGAAGGAAAAGCAGTTTAACATTTGGTAAACTATAAATGGTGAAATTAAATTAATTTGATATGAAATATATTGCTAAAAGTACCTTAAAAAAAATATAATATATATATATATATGAAAAATTATATTTATTATTACTAGAATAGCCCACCAACATACCATGAATTTGTAGGTAAATATAGCAAATCTCCACCCTACAGTCAAACTCAAATTCACTCACATTCTATTAAGGGCCAGTTTGACATTACTGTGTTGTGAAAATAATCGCTGTCAGATTTGTTGTGAAAGAAAACAGTTTGGCGTTTGGTAAACTTTTTCTTGAAAGTATTGTTGGTACAGATTCCCGTGTAATCAAAAAATGATTGCCACATAATCATTAAACCCAGCGCCTCTTCGAAACTGATTCATGTTTAATTAGAAAATGAAAACACCTTATTAGCTACTTTCCCTAATAGCTTTATCTCACAGCAATTTTTAACAATAAGTAATTTTCTCATAGTTTAACAAACGTGTTGGGCTTCCCAAAATTTTTAAAAAATCACTTTTCACCTCAAATAAGACCAAAAGGGCACTAAGATGGGTCACACACTTTGCATTTCTAAAAACAAAAAGAGAATCTTAAAAACATATTGGGGGTGAAGGATAGAAATTGGATATGGGCAATAGATACCCAAACAGAGATGCCTTCTCCTTTCTCAATATGGCCGCCCGATTTTTGCATTATTCATGTTCGCCACCCATAACATGGGTACATGATAATTTTGTGTTCAATAATTCACGCTTAGTTAATCAGATCAACGCCTTGATTACTTACGCGTGGTACCCAACTACTAACTGTCATATGTATGAATTTATGACGATGTTACATAAGAAGATAGCAAAACAATAAATATAATCACATAACGGGTTCATATTAGGATTAATACTACAACACAAGGTCATTATTATGGCATCAAAATAATCAAGAGGAAGTCGTCTTGAGGTGTCTCGCCAAGAGGCATTCAAAAATAGAAATATCTCAAAATAAGGAGATGCTAAATATACAAAAACGATCACTTGGAGCACCCAGATTATAATCTCTTTCTAGAGGAAAATGACTCACTTAATGATCTGCAAGATAAAAACAAATGAGGCGTGAGCAAACAGCCCACTCATATACTCAGTTATATCAGTCATGTAAGATCACATGCCAACTGAACCAAAAAAAAAATAATATCACTCTCACATTGTTACAATAAACTCGTGGCATTAGATTCAAGGCTTTAAATGTTATAATGGTCCCTGTGTTTTATCTCATATGTCAATTTAGTCCTTGTGTTATTGCGTTGGCCAATTTGGTCCTTGTATTTGTATATATTAGTCAATGTAGTCCATTCTCTTAAAAATATAAAATATAAAATACTTCAAATTAATTATAAAACTATAATTAATTATAAAATTTTAAATTCAATCTAAAACACCCACACACCTCAACAACCTCCCAAACCCAGCCACCCTCACCACCGCCACTACAACCCCAAACCCATAGCCACCCTCACCACCATTCCAACCCCACCTAAACCACAACAACTCTCTCTCTCTCTCTCTCTCTCTCTCTCTCTCTCTCTCTCTCTCTCTCTGCTTCCTCTTTGACAAATCATGAAGATCTTCATAGCCGGTCACCGTAATCTTGATGGCTCTACTGCCAATTGATCATCCTCGCTGCAACATTCAGGCCAATGGATCGAAGAGGAGAGAGAGATGAAGGGTAGAGTATGAGAAAATTTAAAACATAAGAGAGAAGAAAAATTGCAGGAAGAAAAGTGTAGGCATCAATTCGATTAAGAACCCTTTTTCGTATAGGAATCGAGACCATTGGAGGTTGAGGTTGTGTGGGTTTTAATCATTTTAGCATTATTATTATTTGAGTTTCAATCTTTATGATTACAGATTTTTTTAATTAATTTTAAATGTTCTTTTTTTAGGTTTTAACATAATTTTGACGGAAATGATCAAATTTGTTAACAGATACAAACACAGGGACAAAATTGGCCAAATTAATAACACGAAGACAAAATTGGCCGATAAGGTAAAACACAGGGACCATTTCGACATTTAAGCCTAGATTCAAAGTAAGTTTTCAACATCGCAGTAAAGCCACTCACCTTTTAGTCCAGACTCGGAAGTTTTCAACATCAACACCTAGGAGAGTACACAAAACGTAATTAACTTAGAATTCTTCTTCGATTGAAACACACTAAATAGTAAACAACAATACAACTAAAAATAAAAACTCATTACTAATTTTGTGCTGAAAGGGAGGCTAATAATAAAAAATAAAATGAAATAAACTGATGCGAACTCACTTTGAAATGCAGACAGGTCATATCTTTGTTCTCTTTCTGGGTCGAACTTCATCATATGGTATCAGTAGTCTAAGCCGATCCATTTCTCATCGTCTCCCCTGTTCTTCAGCACTCATGGCCACCGAGTCTGCACCTGCAACCATCCTAAACACCAATGCAACACATCAAACTCTCATCAGCATCAACGTTGCTGCTCAAGCTCCTCTCAAACTTACCTCTACCAATTACCTTTCCTGGAAACTACAATTCCAATCCCTCTTCATTGGCTATGATCTTCTTGGCTATATTGATGGCTCCAAACCATGTCCTCCAGCCACCTTGACCCAAGAAAATACCACCAGACCCAATCCCAGCTACAGTTTATGGATCCGACAGGATCAACTGATTCTCAACGCCATTATTGGCTCCCTTTCACCCACCATTATCTCCTTCATAGCTCAAGCCCAAACCTCTAAACAAGCCTGGACAACTCTAGCCAACACTTATGCTAAACCCTCTCGTGGCCGCATCAAACAAATCAAACACCAACTCAAATACACCACCAAAGGCTCCCTTAGCATCACTGAGTTTATGCAATCCATCAAAACTCGATACTAGCATCATCTAATTCATTTTCATCAATATGTTTGCCATCATCATCACCATCCCTTGACATACTGATATGAGCCAGGTGGGCCCCAATGCTTTTGATGCGCAACCCTCTGCCGTGAACAGTAACTCCAAAAATAGGCTGCGTTAATTGATCATGAAGCAATAATGGAGTATACTCCATCCACAACGTAGTACCTTTATAATGAGAATCCCAATCTATCTCTCCTTGAAAAATAATATGCTTAAATTGATCATGAACTTCATGAAGTGAAATACATTCCAGCCACACATTACCTGTCGCTGTCTCTCCTCCAGACACATACCACTCATATCGAAAAATACTCGAAACATCAAATCTAAGAAAACAAGGGCTAACAACAAATGATTCCGTAATTTCCCAAACAGCACACAAAACCAATTTTGTGTTCTCCAATATGGAAGCCCAAGGAATTTCAATAGGAAGTTTGTAATTACGAACACTCCTGCCATCATCACCAACGTAATCAAATTTATTCTCATCATAGTCATCAAAGTAATTACGAAAAGTGAACCACTCTGGAACTTCACTGCCACTGTCAGGTAGTTTAACGATAATCCTCCTTTTGCCACTCTGGAACTTCATCTATAACACAACACATGCATATATATTATTAATTAGTTGTGCTTACAGCGTACATAGTATAGTATTAACAATATGTGTAATGTATGCATATTAATTATATAGAAAAATGATAAATACGTCACCTCATTAAATAATTTTGCCATCTTTGAAACGTCCAACTCTAGATTATCGCATAACCTGTGGCAATTAGACAAGTCCATGTAACTAATGCCTTGCATGTATCCGTCTTCCAATATCTTTGACAATGTTGAAAATCTTTCCAGTGATATGCAATCACTCATGTGAACCCATTTTATAGACGCTGGAAGCTGTGCTAGAATTTCTACAAGCCTCTTGCAACCCCTCAAATCAAGCTCCTGCAAGTTGACAAATTTGCTAAAGCGCACAGGTAGATTGACAAAATTGCTGTTGCATAGAGTAATTTTCTTTATGTGGGACCAGCAACAAAAATTCTCCAAGGAATCAATGTCTGATACATTGCACTCTTGAAAATACAAATACGACGAGCAGCTCTTGAATGAACTGTATGATTTGGTTCGAACCTCCAGAGGAAGTGATTCTGCACTCGATAAAACTTCAGATATCAAGTTATTTGGAAGTGTGACAAGTTTTGGGCATCGACTGAGATTAATAAAAACCAGATTTTGCAACCCATAAATACTTTGTGGCAGATTTGCAAGGTTTTCACATCCGTCTAAATATAATATTGCAATCGCAGTGAGATTTCCAATTGATGAAGGCAACTCTTCTATAGCAGTTCCAGCTAACAATAAATGTTTCAGGGTAGTGAGATTTCCAATTGATGAAGGCAACTTTTTTATAGCACTTCCAAATAAGCCCAATTCTTTCAGCCAAACGAGATGTCTAGCTGGTGCCTTAAACTTTTCTATAACACTTACAGATGAGATGTCCAATTTTTCCAGCCCAATGGGATGTCCAGTTGATGCAGATAACTCTTTTATAGCATTTCCCCCAAGGTCCAATTCATTTAAGGATTTCATTTTGTCTACAATTTCAGGGAAACTCTCCAACTTTGTGCAACCGTAAAGACGAAAAAACATCAGAAATTTCAACCTAACTTTATTTGGGAACTTCGTGAGTTCATGGTAGTCACCAAATGTCAATACTTCAAGTTTATTAAGATATCCAACAGATGGATGAACCTCGACTAAACTTGTACAACCAATCGCATTCAAGTACCTTAAGTTTGGGCTGCTGGATAGGTCGGGGATTTCAGTTAGGAATTCAGATCCCTCGAAATTCAGTTTTGTCAACTTTGTCAAATGCTGTTAAATTAAAAATAATAAAAATCAAAAGGATAGCATTAAAGAAATTTACAACATACATCAATTAATAAACGAGACCTCATAATAAGGGATGAGGGATAGTTTAAAGTACCTTCAATCCCTCCCCTAGTTGTTTGATGCGGCTGCAAGGCAGATTGAGCACAACTAATGCCTTTGGACGAAAGTTGGCTGAAAAAGATTGGAATGGCCATCTGTACCAATGAAGCACTCTCAAATTTGTTGGGATAGAACTACTGTCTCCAGAAAGGCATACGTTATAGTTTATGAGAATTTTAAGATTTTTCATCTTCGAGAAGCTTATGCCAACATCCAAGAATATCTCATCATCTTGTTTGGGGAAATCTAACATGATACCTGTGATTTTATTTGTTCCCTAATAGAAAAAAGAAAAATGTACTAAGTGTTACAAAGTATTTATAATATAAAAAAATATTATACTTAACACACAACATGTGTTAGTTATTGAATTATATAAAACTTTACACTCACATATATAATTTAATTTACTTACTGTATTATTAGTCAGAACATGCTCAACATCTTCATGAAACCACAATCTGCTACGTCCTCCAGGTTCAGTAGGTGACTCCTGCTCAATTATGTCCTTACCCATCTCTTCTAATAAGTCATGCATCCGAATGCAACCTCCTTCAACACTTATGAGTGCCTTTTCTATGAGCACATCAATACCATACCTAGCGTTGGGGCCACAAGCTACAAGTGTTTCATAACTTATACTATTACCCATAAAGAAACATACAATGTCAAGGAAAACCTCCTGTACTCTATGATCCAATGCATTGTAACTTATTTTGAGAACGTCCTGAATTTTCTTGCTTTTGAAACCATCCAATGCAGCTTCCCATTTATCTATACTTCCACCACATAGACAAGAACCGAGAACTTCCAAGGCCAAAGGAAGGCCTTGAGCATAGCGTATTGCAAGTTCTGCAAGTTTCACATAATCATCCAAAGGAGGCCCACTTCTTTTGAAGGCATGCCAACAGAAGAGCTCAAGAGCTTCAGGATCATCTAAAATCTTGACCTCATGTATTAAATTAACATCATGAGCAGTTAACAGTTGCTTATCCCTTGTTGTTATGATAATTTTACTGCCTGCACCAAACCAATCACATGCCCCAACTAACTTGTGTAAGTGGTCCATGTCATCCACGTCATCAAGAATCAAGAGAATCTTTCTACCACTCAACCTTTCCTGTATCATAGTGGCTCCTCTATGAACGTTGGGCACCTTCAATTTTCCCCTTAAAATGTCAGAAAGAAGATTCTCTTGTAGTTTGGCTAAACCTCCTCTCTGCCACATTGAACGTTCTCTAACGTTTTCCAGAAAACAACTACCTTCAAATTCATGGAAAATTGAATTATAAACAGCTTTAGCAATTGTGGTCTTACCAATTCCACCAGTACCCCATACTCCTACAGGATGGCGCATTCTAACTGGATACTTTGTCATGTATAAATATGTACGGTTTATTACTTGCCGTGAAATGTCTTGAACGATTTTCTGAATGAGTTCAGCTTCAGATCTATATCTGCCAATTTAAAAGCATGTGAAACATTTAGTCACATGGCATTTTTCTGTAAAACGTAATTTAAAAAGGGCAATTAAGGAACATAATACACACAAAAAAGAAGAGAATTTAGAGCAACAATGAATAAATTAACAAAACAAAATAAAAAGCATTATATAAGGGAGTTAGAAATTTACTCGTCCAAAGGCAACCCTGACAAAGCTGCTGCTTGTGAAAGTGCCGCCCTCCATTTCTTGACCTTGTCCATCTCATCTTTGTATTTGCACTCCATGTTAGCCAGTGCATCCCCGAAGCTTCCTCTATGATTCCGTACATCTGATGGATTCACCTTGTAAAAAACTGGGATGACCCATTGTTGATTTGATTCTTTGCAATCAAGAATCTTAACAAGCTCATCCAAGCACCACTTTGAGGAGGCATAGTTTTCGGAGAACACAACCACAGAAATCTGTGAGTCTTCAATTGCTGTGAGAAGCGCGTTTGATATTTCTTCTCCTCTTCTGAGCTCATCATCATCCATGAAGGTGTTAATTCCTTGTAGACTCAAAGCGCTACACAAATGGCTTGTGAAATTTGAGCGAGTGTCAAAACCTCTGAAGCTCAGAAAGACATGGTATTTGCATGATTTGGTGAAAGGAGCAGAAGAAGAAGAAGAGGCTCCTTGGTTGGCCATCGAAGCCAAAGATGATTGTTCAGTGTTTGCTTCTCACTTTGGATTTGCTAAGCCAAATATGAGTCTCCTTAGCGCCGTTGCTGTTTTGAAGAGATTGAATGAAACTGGGATGACCACAACAGTCTACAATGATAATTTTTCTCCTGTATTTATGACGCGTTTTTAGGTGATGAAGATCCCACATCAGAACTTCTTGGGTTTTCTAGTATATATAGGCATGTGTATAATTCTGATGTATGCACATAAAAATTACAACAATGTATCATCAATGGTTGTTTCCATATGGGTCCACGTCATCAACTAAAAGTATATACATGTTGATATATGGAAAAATAATACAACTTACCTGGTGATTTACGACCCATTTTGTAACTTTTCGTTTTTGATTTTCAGTTTTTATATATATTTTTAAAGCGTACAGAGAAAATGTATTGGAGAAAGGAAGATATTCAGAAAGATGGACGAATGATGGTGCAAGAGAGGTAAAAGAAATTGTGTTCATAGAGTACTACATATAATGAAAACTACAACCGAAATAACTTTTTAAATTGTTTTCATATATTCCCGTAGAAAAAAAGTTTTTCTGTATAAATGGAGACAAAACTAATATATCATATACAAATACTTGCCACACACGTCCTCTCAAGTTCCAACCAATCTTGACTTGCTACTTGAGTCAGTGCATGCGTGTATCACCAGAAAAAAGTTTATTTGTAATTAGGATAAGTAGTAGGATTGTAATTAGGAGTAGCGACACAAACCGGAGACAATAGTGATAATGTTTATCTCTTTCATCTCCACCATCCATGCAAGGGAGAGTGTAAATGTGTGTTGATACATTGTTTTTTTTTGTTTTTTTTACTTTTTTTATACAAGCTATACATGTGAGTGAATTTTCAAACACACCACTTGAGCTACAAGTTTTTTGGGCTTAATTATATATTGTGGCTCCGTGATTCCTTGACAACTTAAATAACAAAGACTTGATAAGGTGTAAAATTATTTATTGATGAATTATTTGAGAGACCTTAAGTGGTATACTACAAATTTTACTTCATTGACCGGAGCTATTTATTTTTTAAGTTTTTGACATGGTATTTCAAGAAAATACAAAAATGACCCCCACATAATTGAATGGTGAAATAGTTTCATATTTAAGTGGTTTTTGCATAGATAATCTTTGAGGGAATACGTAAAAATTAAACAGTTCGGATCATTAAAATACAATACGGAATGAGCCTTATAAAAGTGTCCCTCAAATAAGATATTTTAATAAATCCCTCACTTGAAGCTCCCTATATGTATATGTATGGTATTGAATTATTGTCTTTTGTGGCGTGCATAATATATACAAGGTCTAGGCCATGAGCCACGGCGAGCATACCCATCTTAACTAGTCATTTGAATGTATATTGCCTATAAATATCCAGGCTTGCTACTTTACTTTTACTCATGAGTAGCATACACTTTTCATACTCAATACAAATATATCCAGAAGGAGTTAAGGTGTGCTATGGCCTTGCATGGGAGGATGCTGCTCATTGTGCAAGCCTCTTTGGAAATGGTGGCAGTTGTAATATTAGCTGCTGCAACAATAGCAGCTCTGCCTCAAGCCCTGCCTGGTTGCCAAGAGAAATGTGGTAATCTCACAATCCCATACCCATTTGGCATAGGAAAAGGGTGTTCCATGGCTGGAGAATACTTTAATCTCACTTGTAATACGTCCACTGTCCCCCCTACAACATACTGGGGTAACGTGACTGTTACCAACATATCCCTTCCTGATGCCGAGATGCAAACCCAGCAGTTCGTTGCGAAAGATTGTTATGACACCGAGGGTCAGAGTACCAGCAACCTCATCGCTACGCTCCAGGTGCCTCTTCCTTTCACAATCTCTGATACCAAAAACAATTTGGTAGCCATTGGTTGTGATACTAATGTAATTTTCGAAGGTTACCGAAATCAAACCATGTTTGCCACTGGGTGCACGGCCTGGTGCGATGGCCTTGGCAGCGTTGATCAGGACACTTGCTCTGGCGCTGGTTGTTGTGAAACTAAGATCCCCAGTGGCCTGTACAGTCAAACAGTCGAATTGAAAAGCTATAACAATTATAAATTTGTAAAGGACGTCAACGCCTGCAGCTATGCCTTCGTTGTGGAGCAAGACCAGTTCAAATTCTCCAAAAAAAGTTTTCAAGAGCTGAGCACAAAAGAGACGATTCCAATGGTTGTTAATTGGGCAATTGGGTATGACCCAGAACCTTGTGATACAGCTCGAAAGAGCCCGCATTATGCATGCAAGGCGAATACCACATGTGCCAACCGCCCCAATCAGTCTGGTTACATTTGCCGATGTTTGGAAGGTTACCAAGGAAACCCGTACCACCCAAATGGTTGCCAAGGTGAGATATTTTAACATCTGCTTCTTCAAATGACGCTATATATCTGTATAATATATGTATTATAATCCAATGGGGTGTTAGCTCAGTGGTAGAACTGTTGGCATGCAGGCCAGTGGTCTGCGGTTCGGTCTCCATGACACCGTGTATGTGCATGAGAATTCCCCCTTCCCCTTCCTACTATAATTTAGAATTTTGCTGATTTTTTTTTTCAGATATTGATGAATGCGCCCGAAAAAACCCCTGCACCAATGGAAAGTGCCTGAATTCACCTGGAAATTACTCTTGTTCATGTAATAAAGGATTCAAAAACCAAGACCCCAGGACCTGCGTCAAACATTCCGCAGCAGACAACACAACCAAAAAAGTTTTATTCGGTATGTACGCACTAGCTGTTGAAGTGAGTCTCCTAATTAATCAATGAGATTTATTTCCTTGATTAATTAAGTGATTTACTTTCCTATTTTATAGATTTATTTCCTTGATTAATTAAGGGATTTACTTTCCCATTCTATTTAGTTGACGAATCTTTGTATAATTAGGAGATACTTTCCTAATTCTTTACTGTATCTTATTCCTTGTAAAGTACTCTGTAAACTCATATATATACCTTCTTATGAAGAAGAATAAAGAACCTAACATATTCAAATCCATATTCATATTTTAGCATGGTATCAGAGCCAGGTTGCGGGCCCGTACTTGCCACGTGATGGGTGGGTTCCCGTTTGGCCCCGCGTGATGGGTGAGTCCCCGTTTGGCTCCACGTAGGCCAAAGGTGCCACATTATGGGTGGGTCCCCTTTTGCCCCCCCCCGGCGCCGCCGCGATAGGTGAGTCCCTACATGGCTCCACGTGGTTGCCGATGTGGATCTCCACGTGTGACCCATAAATATGGGGTCTCACTTGCGGGGGAGTGTTGGAACTCATTGTTGTCCCACATCGGCCAGAGGGCCAAAGAGAAAGTAGTTTAAATAGAAATACCCCTCTCTAACTAACACCGAGACCTTTTGTGATAAAACCCCACACCTGAGGATTGTGCAGGTGGTAAAGTGAGGACAGTATCGGTGTTGTTGGAGTGGGCCCTGAGCCCGTTAACTTGAAAAATTTGACACTAGCTATAGTTGGCTACCTACCAAATTACATCCATTCACATATTGATCATATATAGGCTATATAATATAGCCAGCTGATTATTTTAGCTAAAAAAGAATTTCTTTGTCAATGTAATGAGATAAGTTTGGTTTTATCTTCATGTGCAGCTGTTGTTGGGAGCTTCGGTTTTTTACTGGCGGTTGTAGTTTCATTGATGCACTACATGAAGAGGAGGAAGCTCAGTAAACTTAAAAAAGAATACTTTGAGAGAAATGGTGGCTTATTTTTACAAAACCAACTGAAGAGGTACAATGGACGTGTTGATAATACACCCAGACTCTTTACGGATAAAGAACTTCAGAAAGCCACAAACAACTACCATGAAGATAGAATAATTGGTGAAGGGACCTATGGGATCGTATACAAAGGAATACTGGAAGATGAAAAAGTGGTTGCCATAAAACAATCCAAACTTCCAACAAGCCCAGGCCAGAGTAATCAGCTTGTGCATGAGGTGATTGTTGTTGCCCAAATCAACCATAAAAATGTTGTGAAGCTCCTGGGTTGTTGTTTAGAGACCCAAAGGCCTTCACTGGTTTACGAGTACGTCTCCAATGGCACTCTTTACGATCAAATTCATAAAAAAGGCGGCAAACGCCGACCACTTTCATTTTCGTTACGACTGAAGATAGCCTCTGAAACTGCACAAGCGCTATCATATTTGCACTACTCCAGTCGAA